TTAAGTGTGGTTTCAGTGTAATGTCAGAGAAGTCCCTCATATGCTTTTTTTTTTTTTTTTTTTCAGTTGGAGTCTCACTCTGTCGCCCAAACTGGAGTGCAGTGGCCGCTCCCGGCCACCGCAGCCTCGACCTGCTGGGCCCTGGCGATCCTTCCGCCTCAGCCTTCCGAGTAGCCAAAATTACAGGCATGCGCTACCACGCCCGGCTGATTTTTTGATTTATTGTAGAGATGAGGTCTCACTGCCCAGGCGGGTCTCGAACCCGCAGGCTCAGGCAGTCCACTCACCTCAGCCTGCCAAAGGCGCGGGATTACAGGCTGAGCCACCGAGCCCGGCTTATATGCTTTTTAATTTTTTTATTTTTTTATCTTTTTGAGTTGGAGTCTCACTCTGTCACCCAGACTAGAGTGCAGTGGCCGCTCCCAGCCATTGCAGCCTCAACCTGCTGGGCTCCGGCAATCCTTCCGCCTCAGCCTTCCAAGTAGCTGGAACTACAGGCGCGTGCTACCACGCAGGGCTAATTTTTTTGATTTATTGTAGAGATGAGGTCTCGCCAACTTGCCCAGGCAGGTCTTGAACCCGCGGGCTCAGGCAGTCCACTCACCTCAACCTCCCAAAGTGCAGGATTACAGGCTGAGCCACCGAGCCCGGCTGCATTTTAAAGTCATTTTTTTTCTTTATTTTAATTAACACTTTACAAAGTACAAAATATACTGTTTTTTGGGGAGAACATTAGGTACTTTTTTTCTTTCCATCATACAGTACATGAGCCTCGAGGGTTTTGTGTTTCTTCGACAATAAAACAAGCATGAGGGCCCCAAGGGCAGGTGGGGGCAGGATGGTCGGTTCTCCCCTCTAAAGTCATTTTTTGAATAAGTAATAATGTGCACACAGTACAGAATTTTTGCTGTGCAAAGACTCCCACCCCATCCTGCAGCTGCCAGCTCCTCTCCCGAGAAGTAGTCATGGTTCCAGCCTCTGGGGTGGCCTTCCAGAGGTACTGCGTGTTGCTAGAGCAGATAGCTCTTTGGGGTGTTTTTGTCCACACAGTTTTGCATGTTTTCTTCTATCTTGAGGTCTGTCGGTAGCTACAGGGCACTACTTCAACCTTCATACACATAGGTAACTTGTATAGCTGTTTTCTTTTGGATGGACATGTAGATTATAATAGCAAAAATTTTAAAACGTTGGCAAGAAATCTTTATAGATACCTCATCGTGTACATCTGTGCAGTGAAGTTCCTGGAAGCAGAGTTGCTGGGTCAGAGATGTGTGGGTAGAGTCTTTGGATAACCATTGCCTGTCATACAAGAAGGCAGCAGTGTGTGTGGGTACTGATTTGGGCTTCCTGTTGCCAATATGGTGTATCAACCTTTGATCTTTGCCAGTCTTACAGGTACCATGTCTTCACTTGTACGAAGACTTTTCATATGTTTAAGATCCATTTGTTTGGGGGAAAAGGTAACTGCTAATGGACTCAGGGTTTCCTTGTGGAATGATGAAAATGTTACGGAATTAGATAGTGGTGATGGCTGCACAATCTCGTGAATCTACCAACAACTACTGAATTTTGTACACTTCAAAAGGGTGAATTTCAAAGTATGAATTGTATCTTAATAAAGTTGTTGTTTTAAGATCTATTTACATTTTCTGCAAACCAGCTTCATTTCCCATGTTTTTCTGTTGCTCTTTTTTTTTTTGGAGTTAGAGTCTCACTCCATCGCCCAGGCTGGAGTGCAGTGGCACGTTCATGGCCACCCCAGGCAATCCTTCTGCCTCAGCCTTCCAAGGAGCCAGAACTACAGGCATGAGCTACCAAGCCCGGCTAATTTTTTGATTTATTGTAGAGATGAGGTCTCACAAGTTGCCCAAGTTGCCGAGGCTGTTCTCTAACCCATGGGCTCAGGCAATCCCCTCACCTCGGCCTACCAAGTGCTGGCATTACGGAGTTGAGCCACTGCACCCGGCGGCTCTTTTTCTTATAGGAAATTCGCTTTTTGTCTTTGTTATGTTGCGTCTGTTTTTCCCACGTAGACCATTTGCTCTTTTAACTTTGATTTTTGTTTTCTTTTAGCCATGGAGAAAATTTTCATTTTTCTATTGTCAAATGTTGTTTGTTTGTTTTTTTTAAGAGCCTCTGAGGTAGTTTTCATATTGGAAAGATTTTCCTCCATATTATGTATTTTTTAAGTTTTCCAGTTTCTTCTGGCCTTTGTATGTATTCTGAAGGGGTCCAGCCCCTTGCAAGGGTCATGAACTGTCCTGAAGGAGAGATGGATAGGCGAAAGATGAAAATATTATACTCGGACACCTGCTTCCTGAACAGATGACAATTTAATGTTAGTTAACACAGAGCTTTTATACCATTCGTAAAGGGGCAAGACAAAGAAAATTCCTTCAGGTACATATGCTTTAAAAGTTACCACCATCTAGCGGTCTTTAGAAGAAACGAATAAGCCAAAAACACTATCTACTTTCAGTTAATGAGTCTTGAGATAAGTGTAAAAGGAGTTTCACTTAAACTAAACATAATGCATACAAGGTTTACTTTGACTTCGGTTCCACATCACTTGTCTAATTAAAAAAGCCTTAAAATCACTAATACAAAACTATAGATTGTACCTAGTGATAGTAGGAATATGAAGCCCATTAACTTGACCAAACAACAGTGGCTAGCATTTAAAGAATAACTATGAAAGTCACTTACTGTGAAGATACATACACTAATCTTTACTCTGAATAAACATATAAAGTGAACTAAACATAATGAAATAAAACTAACACAACTAAAATTATTATGGTTGCATAATTGCCAATGAGCTTTTAAGTTTAGGATAATGGTGATTTGGCTGTTTTCCCTTATGCTTGGCAACCTCCTGGAAAACATCTTTGTCTTAAGATAGGCAGTGGAGCAATTATTATTATCTTTGAGGCACCAATTTTATCAGTGTGTGAACTTAAACTTATGAACTTAAAACAATCTTCAAAGTAGCTATAGCACTAAAACTTAATTAATGACACAAAGTAAAAACCTTGTTAAACATAACCAGAGCCTAATAATTTTTGTCAGCCCTCATACATATGTATATTGATTATATAAACTTGTATGATATTACATTTTACCAATTTATGAGTAATACATGGATA